TACAGGGGAGACTTTTGGGGTAAGAAAGCAGTTGTTCAACTGATGAAAGAATCCCCACAAAGCTGGAGATTAGCATCAGAGGTTCCCCCTCCGGATCCATCTCAGGCCTGCGGGGCAGGGCTCATTATTTGCTTGTGCCAGGCCCCCTGGGATGCTGCCCTTGTCATTGCCTGGCCCCTTCATGCCCTTCCCTGCAGGTGCTGCTCCGGGTCCGCTAGCAGTCCTATCTTTCTGCCCTGCACTGGGCTCTTCTCCCTCTCGCTGGTCTCGGAAGCTTCTGCCCACCTGGCCTGTCTCCCACCTACTTCACCCTCTTGCTGTCCTGGTGTGGGGAGGAGTGGGGGATGGGAGGAGAGAGGGAGCACAGCTTGGCAGGCTGAGTCAGCCCTGGGAATCTCTGCCTCTGTACCCCAAATCCCTCAGCAGAACCCCAACCCCAGGGCCCAGATCCCTCACGTGGCCCAAAAAAGCTGGTGCCTCATCTTGCCAGTGCCCAGGGGCTCGGCAATATGATGTCAGGAGGCCTCTGTGCCAAGAAGCGTGGTTCACACCTGGCACTTCCCTCTGGCTCCCCTTCCCGGCGGGGAAGCCAAGCCTTGGAGGCCGAGTGGTGGCTGACGTAGGACAGGCCACCAGACCTGCATGTGTGTGAATCTCCTCTCAGCCGTCCATGTGCTTGGGCAAGTTGCTGAGCCTCAGTTTCCAGTTCAGTAAAATAAATGCCGAGGACTGAGAACGGGAGAGCTTCTAGTCTAGTATGTGACACAAGCAGGATGTCTTCCCCCCTAACGTTCCCCAGCAGCCAAGCCAGACCTCGGAGAAGTTCCAGCAACGGGCAGGAGCCTGACTCTGTCCCCCAGGGTGGTGTGAGGACCCCTCTCTTCCTGCTGGCTGCTTGGGCCGCTGACCCAGGGAGGAAGGACAGTGGCTCCCCCGTCCCAGGCTGGCGATTAGGGCCTTGATGGCCCAGAGGCTTCCGCCCATCACACTAGGGGCTGCTCCCAACCAGTGCCCAGAGCAGCTGAATCTGGGGTGAGACCACCCTGCGACTTAGTCCACAGGAACTCAGAGCCCTCAACCTAAACCCTTCAAGCTGTTAAGGCATCCGTTCCCTCTCCTGTCAAGTGGGACTCCCAGGCCCTCCCCTGCCTGTGGTGGTCGGCACCCAGGACTGTCCCGTGTAAGGAGCAGCCCAACCGTCTGGGCTCTGGAGGGACAAGGGTTGCAGGGTTTGCCTTCAGGGATGTCTGACCTTGTGGAGACATGAGGAGGCATCACCTTGCAAAGAGATCAGAGAGACTCAGAGCTCCTCCAGGCAAGGGCAGGGGGGTCATGGGTGCTCCTACCCCCGCCTGCAGCATTGAGGAGCAGGGCTATGGCAGGGAGGCCCAGGAGCCCCGGAGGAGGCTGGGGCCTCTGGGACTAGTGGCGCCTCAGGAGCACCTGAATCTGGGCTTTTCACACTGTCCCGAGGCCTGAGTGAGGGAAGGGGTGGCTTCCAGGCCCCACCACTGGGTTAGAACCTGGTCAGGAGCCGGGTCCTGGAGGAGGTTTGGATGGGCACAGAGGGGCCTCCGGGGGCAGACAGCAAGCAGAACTGGAGGTGGGAAAGCAGTTGCTCCGTGTGACGCAGAGAGGAGCAGCCCGGCTGTTGCCGAGTGAGGGGCTGACGGATGCAGGGGGGGCGGCCCAGCCTTGCCCTCGGCCTTAGAGGGCAGGACCTAGGCCAGGCTGAGTGCTGTCTGCACGCTGGGCCCCGGGGGTATCTGTCAGCTCCTGGTGTCGGGAATGAGGCTGCAGGGACTGTCAGGCCTGCCCACCGCCGCTGCTCCGTTTCACATCTCGCACATGGGAAACCCGGGAGGTCAGGCCCGGCTCCGCACCCAGAAGGGAGGAAGCGGCGTCCTGGCCTCCTCTCCATCCAGTCGCCACAGGCCGCCAGGCCGACTCACCTTTCACCTCCATGGCCCGAGCTGCTCCTGGGACTTCGGAGAGGAAACAGTTTGCCGCCCCACCCACCCTTGCGACATTGACAGGCAGGCCTCCTGGCCCTTGGGCTGGCCGTGTGCCCAGGTCTGGGTCTCAGTTTCTCCATCTGTGAGGGTGAGGCTGTGTCAGCTCACCTCTCCTTCCAGCTCCGAGGTGGTACCATCTTGACTTGGGCTGGAGCACCGTGAGGGACAGGCTGGAGCCCGGAGCTGGGGGTGGGGAGGGGGGAGAGCAGTGAGGAGAGGACTCTGGCTGGCCCTCTGACCAGGAGCTGCTTTTGTGACGGGCAAAGTGTGACCCTCGTGGGTGTCGAGCTGCCAGCGAGAGGGCAGGCTGCGCAGAGGCCTCAGGCTGCCCAGGGATAGCAGCAGGGCCATGGGCAGGGGCGCGTGCCCACAGACAAGGGAAAGGTTTGCAGGCTCTGGCACCCACCACGCTTCCCCTTCCTCTCGACGACCCTCTGCCAAAACAGTCCTGATTGATGCCTGTGGACTTGCTTAAATCTCATCCAGAAAAGAAAAGGAAAAGAAAAGGGGGGAAAGAGGGTTGTTATTTGTGAAATTGCATTTCCCAGCCGTGAGGGTGACTCACGCATTTGGAGCTTCGAGTTTCTGTTTGGATGAACTTTTCTCTGGGAGGCTGGGCCGAGCTGCCCTGCCTCAGGCCAGTGGGTGAGGAGAGGCCTAGAGTCCACCTCAGGAGAGACCTGACAGTTGGAAAGTTCAGGTGCTCCCCCAGGTGACGCGGGGCTGGTTGTACTGAACTACCCGGGGGAGCTTTAAAAATGCAGATTCAAGCCCAGCCAGCATAGCTCAGTGGCTGAGCATTGACCTGTGAACAAGGAGGTCGCGGTTCGATTCCCTGTCAGGGCACATGCCTGGATTGCAGGCTCAATCCCCAGTAGGGGGCGTGTAGGAGGCAGCCGATCAATGATTCTCTCCCATCTCTCTCTCTCTCCCTCTCCCTTTCTCTCTCTGAAATAAATAAAAATATTTTTTTAAAAAAGAATTGCCAAAATGATAGACGTTATGTATGTATCGTTTAGCACAATAACAACAGCAGAGTCCAGGTCCCCAGGTGGCTGTGTTCTAGGTTTGAAGCAGGGCCCAGAAAACTGTATTTAAGTTTCCCAGGCCATTCAATACAAGTTGGAACATACTCATCTAATCTGTACAAAGGGAGACAATGACTCATCGGGTTGTGAGCATCAGCTGTCTTAACATGTGTCAAGTTTGCAGGCCTTGGTACAAAGTAGATGCTCAGTTAACATCTCATCTCATTCCCACCGGAGCCCTCCCACACCCCCAAGGCTGTTCAGTCCTGGCTCCTACCCATCCAGGGATGGGGACCTTCTGTTTCTCAGGGTGGACCACCCCATCTTGGGCCATCTGAGGGCCGGAGAGTTGCCCTCAGACCTGCGGGTTTGTGTGGTATCTTCTACTGGTCCAGGGTGGCATGGTAGCACTGGGCAGTGGCAGAGCAGAGATGGCCATTGGGAGCCCTCGAATTCTGTGCCCAGTGGCTGGGGGCAACTGTGTTGGGCCTGGGCTGCCCTGGACATGGTCTGTGTCTCCCTTCCAGGCCTCGGCTCCAGGGCACACCTGCCCGAGGGAACAGGCTGAGAGGGGAGGGCAGGCCGCAGTCACACGGCAGGGGGCTTGGGGGGCCCCAGAAGAGTGTAGCACCCAGATGGTGAGGGCTGTGTCCTCTAGAAGGGGAGTCCAGACCCCAGAGACAGAACAAGTAGGGAGACTGAGGCGGACATGTGTGAGCGGTGGGGTTTGTCCTGGTTGTGGGGGTGCCTGCTCCCTTGGGGCAGGCTCTCAGCTCACCTCCTTCCCCTTCTCACACTGAGGGGACACAGAAAGGACCGTCGCCACCCTGGGCCGCTGTCTGCCCCATCTTTGTAAGGGAGCCGGAGGCAACTTCCTCTCAGGGCCTCTCCTCGCCCATCAGCCTGGGGACTCCTGAGAACAAGGCCGTGTCTCTCCATTAGACCCACGGCCCCCCAAGGCCACTGTTCACGCCCGGAGTTCTCAGGCACTAAACTGGGGTCAGGGTGCCCACGCCCATGCCCAGGCCTGTCACTGACCCTCCTGAGGAAGCTGCCTCTTCCCAGCCTTGGCTTTGACCCAGGATAGGGAGCCATGGCCTCACCGCAGGCCCCACCTTCACCAAATTCCAGTGTGCCTGGCCAGGGAGCCGGGGACTCCTATAAATAGAGGGTGTATACAGCAGGAGGGGGCCTGGGCCTCGTCTGCTTTGAAGCCAGGCGAGACATCTGGTTCCTGTCAGCTGGAGGTGGGAGAGGTGAGAGAGGTGGGAGAGGTGGCCACTTCCTCCCTGGGCTCCCAGATAGCCGGCCGGGCCGGGCCCAGGGCTCCCCGGACACAGTCTGCACAGGCCTTGTGCTGCCGGAGACCCGGCAAGCGCTGGCCCTCAGGCTGCTCTCTGCTCAGTGGAAACCATGCTGCCCCGGTGTTCTGCTTCCTTACAAGTGGAGGAAACTGAGTCAGCTCTGACATAAGGGACGTGTCCCCAGTCCTTCCACCAGTGAGTGGCAGAGCCCCTAACCCAGCAGGTGGTTCGTGCTGACCGGCGTATCTCCTGGCAGTGCGTGGAGAAGGACTAATGGGAAAAATAACTCGCACTGTCATCGGCATCACCGCCCTCTACCAACCGAGCCGATGCGAGTGCCGGGCGGGAGACGCGTGCTATACGTTTGTGACTTCCGTTATCTTACAGAAACCCTAGGAGACAGGTATCATTCTTCCCGTTTTCCAGATGGGCCACTGGCCCAGAGTGGCTAACTGGCTTGCCCATGGACCCACGACTAGATTTGGATTTGAACCCAAGCTCCAGGAGGCCAGAGCCCGTGGGCATCGGGGTCATTGTGAATTCGTGTGTGTCTGTGTGTGTGTGTGTGTGTGCCCAACAGGAAATGTCCCTGAAGTCATGGCTGTGGCTGAGTGTGTCAGGCCTCTGGGCCCTCACAGCCTCTGTCCCCACAGGCCCTGAGCAGCAGCGTGTACAAGAGCACCTCGCCCTACGGCTCCCTCAACAACATCGCCGACGGCCTCAGCTCCCTCACCGAGCACTTCTCCGACCTGACCCTGACCTCTGAGACCCGGAAGCCCAGCAAGAGACCCCCGCCCAACTACCTGTGCCACCTGTGTTTCAACAAAGGACACTACATCAAGGACTGCCCCCAGGTAAGGCAGCCTGGCCCGGTGCGGCTCTGGACCCCTGCTGCGCTGTGGGCAGCTTCTGTGGACGGGCAGCCCTGCTCTGCCCCCTTCCCGGAGCAGGGGGCCCTGGGCCCCCTCTGGTCTCCACCTTCTTGTCCCCCTGGTATTCCTGAGGAAGCCTGGCTGGTGTGAGCGGGGCAGAGGCCCAGCGCGGACCTGTACAGTAAGGCAGCAGTCTGGGTGGGGGACCCCAAAATGAGGTTTGGGACCTTCAGTCCCTACCCGTCTTCCTGCCAGGGCGGGTCCTGTTACTGTGAGGCGTGAGGTGGGACAGGGGCCAGCAGCCTCCTCACAGCTCTCCCCTGAGACCCCATCTCCTCGCACTCACAGGGAAGGAATGCGGGCTCTGGGCCAGGAATCCAGATGTGCGCCCCTCCCCCAGACCCACCTCTGCCTGCTCTGCAGCAGGCTTCCTCCTCAGCCCGCTGCCTGCAGTGCGGAGGGGGCTGCCCCACCATGGGGCTGGGGAAGGCACTGTGGGGGGAGGGAAGGGGAGTAGGAGATTGGGGGTCTCTCACCGAATGCTTCGCCGAGACGGGGTGGGGCGCTGGGGCAGCTCCCACCCACGAGGTGAGCCGGAATCCTGGGGAGAGAGGTCAACAGTTGTTTTAAATGCGGTGCGAGATTATCGGCGATTTTCCCCTATTATTTTTTCATATTTTCCAGTGTTTTTATGATGTGGTACTACTTATTTTGTGTATGTAATGGAAATGGAATCCTGTAAACTCAGAAAACCCATGCTGTCTCACCCTCCAGATGTTGGAAGCCGAGGGCATGGCTGGGTGGGGCCGGTCCCCGAAGGACCGGGAGGCTGCGATGTGCTTCTTGCTCAGCACTCCCCTCACAGTGGCCCTGCCATGCTTTCTGTCCCCGCTGCTTCGAGCACAGCCAGGCGTGGCCAGTCAGTGTGGCCTGGGAGCGTGTGAAAGCACAGACGCTCAGGCCTCCCAGAGCTGCATTGTAGTGAGACCCCCTCCCTGTGATTCACGTCAGGGACCTTGGCCTCCCTCTACCCCGAGCAAGAGAGGCCCTCCCTGGTTAGGGGCAGCCGACCCACTGTGGCCGACCCACTGTGGCCGTTCTCCACATCCACATCCTGTGGGCCCGTCTTCCCCTCAGTATAGAGTCAGCAGGGCTCTGGCCTGAGATCTCAGCAGAAGGTGAGGCCCCACCCTCCAGGGGCTCTCTGAGTAGGACCAGGGCCAAAGGAGCAACTGAGGACCCCGTTGGTCTTCAGAGTTGTGTCCGTGGCCCACCCATGGACAGCACCCCTAGTGCCCTCCCCAGCTGAGCCCGCCGCAGAGGGGTTCTCTGCTCTCAGTCATGCACAGCAACACCTCACAAACTGCCCTCCATCCCTCCCTGCCTGCAGCCTGGGAGGGGGCAGAGCAGGACACAGGCGCTGTGATAAGTGGTCCTCCAGCATCATTGCGTTCAGTGCTCACAGCTACCCAGCATGCCAAGTGCTCATATTAGCCTTGTGCTACCTCATGCTTTGTCTCAGTCAAGGACTACACAGGACCATTGATCTGGAGGATCCAGGAATTTATTCCCTCCCCCCAGGTGGTGACAGTCAGACGCTGGGCCTGAGGAGGTGTGCTCACGCTGGGCTCAGCCTGGGAAGGCTTCCAGGAGAAGGAGGGCTTGAGTGGGGCTGGCAGGTTGATGGGAGAAGAGCAGCAGATCCTCCCACAACATGACCCTTATCCCAAGGCAAAGGGTGGTGAGCCAGAGGTGGGGGGCTGGGACAGGGGCGTGTGCGTGTGTGTGCGTGTGTGTGTGTGTGTGTGTGTGATCGCACTGCCCTCTCCGGACAGGGCCAGAGCTCTTCTCAATGTGGGCAGGGTGTCCCTGCCCTCGGCGCCTCTCTTGCCAGCGCAGAGCTAACCTGGTTTTTCCTTTATGTGGATTGTACAGTGTGTTCACTTACCTTGTGCAGGGCTCTTAACCCTCTGGCAGAATTAGGAGTAATAGCTCCATTTTACAGCTGAAGAAACAGAGCCCAGGGAGGTGAGGTGCTGAGGAGAGGGCGGGGAATATGGGCACCCAGTCCTGGGACCTCTGTGCTCTTTGCCCCTTGAGCACCCAGGCCACCAGGTGAGACACCCATGGCCTGTGGAGCCTCAGTTTCTCCCTTCTGGCCCCATCACAAACCTGCTTCTATCTGGGACTCCTGGAGGCCCAACGACCTCCCTCCACCCTTTACAAGAGGTAGAGGGCAAAGGCTCAAAATGTCAATTTCATCATCGTAAAATGAAGCTAATGAGGACACTAACTCATAGGATTGTGAGGGTCCAGTGGAACAATGCATGGAAAGTGCTTGGCACAGTGCCTGGCACACAGTGGGCACTTAATAAGTGTTGGCTAGCGCTGGTGTTCTGCCACTGGTCACTACACCCCCCTGGCAAGGTACTAGGTGTTTCAGCAGGCTGGAATGTGGTTGGATGCTCCCCACTCCTCACCTGACCGCAAGCTCAGGGGCAGTGCTGGGCTAGATTCAGCTCTGTACCCCTCACTGTCTGACCCCCAAGAGATCACGCATAGCAGGTACTGAGGGCAAACCTTCCTGAATGGAGGGATGTGTGAAGAAGGCTTTTATAAGGCCTGGAAATCTTTGCTCAAGCAAAATATTATAAATATCTCAGAATATGTAGTATTTAAAAGTGGAATGCTTATTTTGGTAATAACTAATGAGATATAATTTACTGACCATGTAATTTACCCATTTAAAGTGTGTGGTTCAGTTATAGAACACTTTCGTCACCTCAAAAAGATACCTCACACTCTTTAGCTGTCACCCTCTGTTCCCCAGCCCCTAGGAAACCATTGATCTACTTTCTGTCTGTATAGATTTGCCAGTTCTTGATGTTTCATATGAATAGAATCATATACTATGTGGTTTTTGTGCCTAGATTCTTTCACTTAGCATATTGTGTTTAAGTTTCATTCATCAGTTCCTGATTTGGGAAGTGTTCCATTCTCTTTTCTGAAAGATTTTGTAAGAATTAATATTAATTTTTTCTTAATTGTTTGGTGACATTCAGCTATGAAAGCATCAGAGCTTGGGCTTTCTTTTGTGGGTAGATTTTTTAAATTACTAGTTCAATCTCTTCTCTTGTTACAGGTCTACTCAGATTTTCTATTTCTTCTGGAGTCAGTTTCTGTAGTTTGTGTGTGTCTTTCTAGGACACAAACTACACATACAGTTGTTCATACTATTCTATTATAATTCTTCTTATCTCTGCAAGCTTGGTATTAATGTCCCCCTCTTTCATCTCTGATTCTGGTAATTTGAGTCTTTTCTCTTTTTTTTCCTTGGTCAAGCTAGGTAAAGTTTTGTCAATTTCATTGAACTTTTCAAAGAACCAACATTGGGTTTAGTTACTTTCCTTTATTATTTTTCTATTTTCTATTTCATTGCTTTCCAGTTTATTCTTTTAAAAATTATGGCAAAATACATATAAATAAAATTTACCATCTTAACCATTTTTAAGTGTATAGTTCAGTGGCTTAAGTACATTCACATTGTTGTACCACCATCAACGCCACCCAACTACAAACCTCTTTTCATCTTGCAAAACTGTCCCCATTAAACAATGACTCCCTTTCTTTCTCTCCCCTAGCCCCTGCACCATTTTACTTTCTGTCTCTGTGAACTTGACTACTCTAGGAACATCTTTTAAGTGGAATCGTACAGTATTTGTTCTTTTGTAACTGACTTATTTCACTTATAATGTCCCGAAGGTTCATTCGAGATATAGTATGTGACAAGATTTCCTTCCTTCCTATATTTTTATATCCTTACCCGAGGATAAGTTTTTATTGATTTTAGAGAGAAAGGGAGAGGGAGAGGGAGAGGGAGAGGGAGAGGGAGAGGGAGAGGGAGAGGGAGAGGGAGAGGGAGAGAGAGAGAAACATTTATGTGTGAGAGAGAAACATTAATGGGTTGCCTCCCATACACACCCTGATCAGGGATTGAACCACAACCTTTGGTGCATGGGACAACGCTCCAACCGACTGAGCCATCCGGCCAGGGTGATAATATTTCGTGTGTGTGTGTGTGTGTGTGTGTGTGTGTGTGTGTGTGATTACCACATTCTGTTTATCCATTTATTCTTCAATGAACAACTGGCATGCTTCCACCTTTTGGCTATTGTGAATAATGCTGTAATGAACATGGGTGTACAAATATTCTTCTGAGTCCTTGCTTTTTTAAAAAAAATATATTTTATTGATTTTTTTTTTTTTTTTACAGAGAGGAAGGGAGAGGGATAGAGAGTTAGAAACATCTATCAGCTGCCTCCTGCACACTCCCCACTGGGGATGTGCCCGCAACCAAGGTACATGCCCTTGACTGGAATCGAACCTGGGACCCTTGAGTCCGCAGGCCGATGCTCTATCCACTGAGCCAAACCGGTTAGGGCTGAGTCCTTGCTTTTAAGTCTTCACTCTAATCATTGTATTTCCTTCCTTCAGCTTGCTTTGAGTTTATTTTCTCTTCTTTTTCTAGTTTCTTGAGGTGGAAGGTTGGGTTACTGACTTTACATTCTTTCTTCCTTCTCATATGTACAGCACATCATCATTTGGTGTGCCTTCACTGTAACATCGATGAGATGCCGTCGAAAGTTCACTCCTGTTTATATCAATTAGCCCATGATGAAATCGGTTTCGTTATTCGTGTTTCACTTAAAGTCACATAATCCTACCAACGACATTGAGGTTTACAACTACACATTTTCCTCTGAGCTGCATCCCATAGGTTTTGGAGTGTCTTGTCTTCATTTTAACCTATCCCAGGGTATTTTCTGATATTGCTTTTCCTTTTTTGACGCACTGGTGATTTAGAAGTGCGTTGTTTAAAATCCACATATTTATGAGTTTCCCAGTTATCTTTTTAAAATGATTTCTAATTTTATTCTAATGTGGTCACAGAACATACTTTATGTTATTCCGATGCTTCTAAC